TACAAGAATAAAGTCGTAGTATTACAAGAATAAAGTCGTAGTATTACCAGGATGAACTTGTAATGCGTCCTGGGTCGGCTCGCCCCTGCTGTGGACGGCCTCCAATGCGAGTCACTGTGTTTATGTCTGCGATCACTTTTCGGTCACTGTTTGTGAAATATGCCTCCATCCACATGTGACGACTAAATCCGTCAGTGCAGCCATTAATTGCAGTGTCATACGGCTTCAGTTTATCATAAGGATCCATATGCCGCAGTGCGTTGGGTCCCCTGCTATTCATTCATTCATTCAACCTTTATTTAGACAAGTTAATCCCATTGAGCCTCGAGGACTCCTTTACAAGAGAGACCTGATTTCAACAAACAATGACGACAACAATGGACAACAGCGACAACAATAGACTGTTATAAAAAGGCATACAGATTATTTTTTATTTTTTTATTACAAATTAATTAATTATTGTACTGCCGACGTTAACGTTCATCATTTTACCGCAGTTGTAAGACTTGATTTTTTTCATGTTGGAGTTCTGATAATATTAGGACTTTATTCCCGTATTGTTTCTGCGTTATTCTTGTAATACTACGACTTTATTCTTGTAATATTTCGACATTACTCCCGTACGACTTTATTCTCATAATTTCATGACTTTTTTCTCGTAATGTCATTTTTTTTTTTAGCGTGGCCCTACTATTCTGTCGTACCGTTTAAATAAATAAAAAAATTTCAAGTTTTGATTTTTGTTTGTTGCTCAGCCCCCATAAACTGGCCACGCCCACTCTGGTGATGTCACAGGACAGGTGCAGGGGGTGGAGCAGCAGCACGGAGGAGACTATGATACAAGGGCCCGCCCTTTTCACCACACCCACCACCTCTGCAGCTGTGGAGGGGGCGGGTCCTGGTGTGGATGAGACTGTAATCCAGACTGATCCGGGTAACGAACTCCTGTTGTTGTTGTTGTTGTTGTTGTTGTTGTTGTTGTTGTTGTTGTTGTTGTTGTTTCATTGCCACCTTTTATTTAAACAGATTAAAACCCACTGAGATCAATATCTCTTTCAAAGGGTGACCTGGCCTCATTAATAAAGAATAATCAAAACTTTTAAATCCATCTCCAGATGTTTGGACTCGATTTTACAGATGTTTTTTTTAATCCAGCTCTTCTGATCCGTTTCTTCTTGTTTGTATCAGATGTGTCTTCAGCAGATGCCCCGCCCATGTCCTCTTCCTCGCCGCCAGCAGAGAGGCTCCTCCCCCCTCCATCAGATGACTTCACCGGTCAACCAGGTAACTTCCTGTTTCCTGTTTCAGCCACTGGTGTCAGAAGGAAATCTGAGTGTTTGTTGTTGTTCAGGTGGAGATGAGGATGAGGAGTCGGTCAGAGTTCAGCAGGTCGTCAACGAGCTTCGTCAGGCAGCGAGGCGGGCCGTCCACCTGTTCCAGCAGGTCTGTTGTTGTTGTTGTTGTTGTTGTTTACTCACCTACACTTTGTTCTCTTGACTCGTTTCACTGCAGCGTCTATTTCAGCTACAGATGGTTTTTGAGTTTCTTATTTTATTTAACTCTAAAAACAAGTTTATTTTTTGGGGAAAAAATTATTATGTTTTCTTCTTTTATAGTTATTTTTCTATGAATAAAATGTTTAGATTTTTATTAGCATTTGGCTTCAGTTATTTTCACATAATTTAAAATAATTTTATATGACATTTATTGTTTATACTTTGTTTTTATTTAGTTTAAATCTATTGGTTTATTATTTTTAGAACTTTTTACATTTGTCTTTTAGTAAAAACATGTTTTTACCCCCGACTTTTTTGTTTTGTTTTTAAATAAAACTATTTTTTTGATAATAATTTTATGTAAATATAACTTTATTGTTTTTATTAAATCTCGTTCCGATTCTGTCTGGCAGCTTGGCGAGTCGGAACGGACCCAGCAGAACTTATCTGTCCTGCAGGAAGCATTCAGCGCCGTTAACTCGGAGCTGCAAGCAGTAATGCAGCCAGATGTTGGGCGGAGCAGCGGTGGTGGGCGGAGCAGCGGTGGTGGGCGGAGCAGCGGTGGTGGGCGGAGCAGCAGCGACCCCTCTGGTTCGCTGCAGGATGACAGGACAAGGTCTCTGCTGGAGAAATACTCAGACCTGCTGCTCCAGATGACCCTGAACAAAATGAACCGGATCTGAACCAGAACTGGAGGCTGATACCAGTATTAAACCAAATGCACCTTAAAGTTTCATTGTTTTGTTGGACTTTTTATCATGTTCACAATTTGTACATAAACTGATGTTTTTAAACGTTTTCATTAAAGTTTTAGTTTTTCTCAAAAAATAGAAAATCTTCGATTTTTGTGACTTGTTATGAATAAAGTCCAGAAGTGTGAGACTCAGAACCAGGTGGCCTTTCAGAAGACTCAGACCCTAAGATTGATTACGAAATCAAAGAGGAGTAGCTGGTCTGCAGAGTCCTGATGGGGATCAGGCGGTCCAGTAAACCTGAACCAGACCAGGATCTGGTCCACTTCAGTACAAACTCTTCGATTTTCAGTCAGGTCATCTGGACAGTTTCTTTTTTGTGCTGAAACGTTTCACCTTCTATCCAGAAGGCTTCATCAGTCAAGGAAACGCACAGCAAAACTGATTCTTCCCCCAAACAACTTACTCCAAAGTGGAACAAACCAGTTATGTTGGTGCTAAGATGGTGTCTTTGGCACGCCCCCTCCTCTTGTGCCGGCCCTCTTCCTTGTCAAACCTTGTCATGTCAAACTGGTTCAAAACCAAAAAAATCCATACTCAATCATCCAGGTATACAATCCAACAATTTTCATCAAGTCAACTGTCCAGATGACATGACTGAAAATTTTTGGATTGTATACCTGGATGATTGAGCATAGCCTTTTTTTTTTTTTTTTTTTTTTCAAAGAATTGTTGCTTTAACTAAAACTCAAGAATGTCAGGTTTCAATCTAGACTACCGTCGTCTCCATCAGAGAATGATGGTTGTTTCTGCTTTTTTAACAAACTTGACTAAATTGAAACACTTGAGGTTTTTAATTGTTTTTGAATGTTTATCCCGATTTATTTCTGGTATTAATAGAAACAAAGGCCACAAATTTATAGTTTAGTTTGGGGGTGTGGCCTATAATCTTGTGTTTTTAATGGAGTCGCTCCTTATGGATTAGTCGGTGTATGACCCGGCTAGACGTAGGGAGGGAGGAGTTTCCTCGTAACTAAAGTGACATCACTTTTGGTAACCTGTTGAGGATCAGAGTTTAAGATTGGGGGGGGTGGGGATTGGTTTAAGTTGCCATTAACGGGTAAAAACAGGCTAGTTCAAAATAACAAATGTAGCTAAAACTAACTAGGTAGCTCCATCCATCTGTTCCTGGCCCGGCCCTTCACTCCGTTGTTAGATCTCAGTGTGGCCCGCGAGTCCGAAAGTTTCCCCACCCTGGCCTAGCTAAACGTAGCAAAAGGCTTAAAGTAGTTAAAGGCTTGCTGTAAGGTAATGTAGCAAAAGTAACCCAAGGTAGCAAAAGTAGCTAACAGATCTAAGCAAAGTTAAAATAAAGTAGAAAAAAAACCTGAAAGTTAAATGTAGCAAAAGTCGAGGCAGATTTATTTATATAGCACATTTAAAACAAGCTGTTACCAAAGTGCTTTTAAAGGCTTACTTTGTGAAGCAAAGTCCAGCTAAAAGTAGCCGAACTGAGACTGTTTTCTGTTTTTTGCATGCGTTTATCTGCTAAATGTTAAGCTGTTTTTCTTGAAGCCATCTATCTTTGTAGAAACTGCTTCACAGCTGTATATGGAGACTGAACACCCTGCACCCCAGCCCATTCACAGTTTTTTTTTTAATTGTATTTCAGTTTATAAAAGTTGTCCACTCAAACCAGGAACCGCTGCTCGGTGCAGAAACTTGAATTTGTTTTATTTAATTAATTTTCTGACTTTAATATTTAATTCACATTTCCTTAGAAGCGTTCTCTTTTACAGGATGATCATCTGCAGGAAGAGCTGAAGCCCCACTCGGCGCTCCACTTCGTGCGCCGGCGGATAAATGATGTGGAGCCTCCGTGCGGCGCCCCGCCCCCGCGCGGTGACGAAATGAAAGAAGAAAAAAGTTAATAAACAAAGTGAAGTTGAGGGAAGAGGAAACAAACAGGGAGGAACGCGGGTGTAGGTGGAGGACCCGCGACTCGAGCCACATCAGGCCGAGCTGAGGGCGTCCCTCTGCGGGGGAGCAGCGGGACGCGGCCCGGGCGGCGGTGATGGAACCGGGCGGGGCGTCGCAGCGCAGCGGCCGGTCCGCGGAGACCTGCTGGAGGGGTCACATCGTCCGGCAGCTGAAGCACCGGGACCGGAGCCAGAACGCCATGTTCCAAGACCTGATCCGGTTCTGTACGAAGCTCGGTTTACTTTCAAATGTCCGAAATCAGTTTAAGCCAAACTTTATTCAGAAATGTGCAGATTGAACCTCAAGCTGATCTGTGGGCTCAGAACCTCACCCAGACCTTTAATTAGAACAACGTGGTTCTGACAGTTCTCGGAACCGAACCTCACCTCACACACGTTATTATTTATTTTATCCGCATGTGAGACACAAGTGGTTCAAATGTCAAAGCGCAGGTTCCTCTAAAGTGACTCATGTGTGACAGACAACCTGCTGCTGGTTCATCATCTGCGCACAGAACCGACCCGAACCGAACCGAACCGACCCGGCTGTCTGCGAGAGTTCTGGGAACCACAAGGTTCTGAAGGGAAAAGTGTTGGTTCAGAAATGTGTGGGATTTTGAATGGAGTCTGGCGGGAGTGATGTTTGGACCTCTGAGTCTCTGCAGAACTTTTTATTACTTTTTATTTTGTTTTTTTATAGTTGTTGTTGAGATTCTGATGACAGCTTCACTCCCAAATTATGGCAAGCTGTTTTACTAAACAATCAAATCAAACCCTTATTTCCATTTACCATTTCAGATTTTAATAACGTTTGTTCTGGTCACAATAACTAAACTAGCAAAAACTGAAATTAAAGATATTTACAAGCGACGATGAGTAAAACTTACAATTTAGCGATCACAATTCTAATTATACTTCTAAAATATCAAGAGTTCATTATATATTTTTGTAGTTCTAACCCTATTATTAAAATAATATAGTCATACATGTGGTAACAACTTCCATAAAATGTAAACTCAACTACTTTAACTTTTTAGGGATTTAAATTTTTCTTTTTGTTTGTTTTACTAGTATAACTAGAATGATCTTTATTGTATACTCTTCATGTAACAATGGGATTGTAAATATATTTAACTTAAATTTAACTCAAAAAAACAAAACAAACAAACAATATATATATATTTAACTTAAATTGTGTAAAGTGAAAATGTTATTCTGACCAGGAGAAAACATTGAAATTTAAAATAGTAAATTTGATTATTTGATAAAACAGCCTGCCATATATAAAACAACTTGCCATACATGGTGTTAACTCCAGAACATAAAGCACAATTGAGCGTGCACGTGATGCATTGTTAATGTTTTCTCATCTTAGGATGCACGAACATCAGTCTCACTGCTCGCTCAACTTGATGGCACAAAAAAAAAAAAAAAAATCCATAAGTGCAAATCTTGATCTGAGACTGACCAGAACCAGGTTTCTCTGACTCTTCTGTGCTTTCAGACACTCAGCTGCTGGAGAAAACCAGTCTGACCAAAGGACGTCTGAGCAGGTAACTCACCTGAGCTCTGGCTGCAGGCGTTGGACCGTGTGAGGAAGCTGAGAGTGTGTTTGTTTTGTTCACCCAGATGCCCCTCGACCTATGGCGGCGCCTCTCTCTCGTCTCTGCTGCAGCAGAACAGTGAGCTGAAGAAGACGACAGGAGAGGTGAGAACACCTGGACGAAGGTCATTCTTCAGGTGTGCGTGTTTTGAAACGGTCCAACAGGAAGTGTGTTTGTGTCGTTGCAGTTGGCCTATCAGGTGGTGGAGCTGCAGCAGCAGATTGGCAGCAAAGAATGTGTCCTGCAGGAGCAACGTGCCAGGTGACACACACACACACACACACACACACACACACACACACACACACAC